ATTCCAAAATGAATTAAAATAAAAAATGAAAACTCAAGCAAACTGTAAAGTCACAGAGCATAATAGCCATTACCATTTAACTTTTAAATTGCAAAAGAAAGCCTAAAACAATATTGTACAACAAACTGGGCTTTTAAATAATTTAGATACAGGTCTGTGTAACACACAACTTTGAAATATACCTTTTTAGAACACTGCACACACACTTGAATTATTACAAAATAACATTTTAATTACATTGTGCTGAAGTGAACGAAATTACTCGAAAAAAAAAATTCGTTCATTTTGCTAAACGAGATTCAAAGAACCTAATCAGTAAAATGATCTGAACTTAACATCACTACTCTGATTTAGGCTGTTGTTTTACTTACGGGAGTTGGCATTGGCGATTTCATTGGTCTCGTTAGGATCCAGCCAAACCTTCTTCTTTCCACAGCGGAGGACGCTGGAAGCCAGCCTGAGATGGAGCCTGAGCATGCTGCATGGCACATGGACAACACCCGGTTAGACACCTAACTATAGCTACACTATCATTTTATGCTCCGTGTCACACAACTAGTACGTTTTACAATGGACTTAAAAGTGTTGTAATACAGTATCAAGTCAACAAGCTGTTAGCTAAACAGCTAGCATTTATCTCATTTCTAGCTAATAGCCGGGTTGCCAACATGGCGTCTCGGACTGCTACTTCGTGTCACAGAGTAACACGTAGAAAATTTGGATTTTTGAAGGTGGATTTCATTTTATGTATCAGCAAAGAATGAACTCATGTGTCCCATGAGCGTGACATGAAGTTAAAAATTGTAATTTTACTGTTAAATTCTAACTTATATCGTGCCATCGACTACACTCCTACCTCATGGCTGCTACTTCAATTGGAAAAGGAAGGATAGAAAGACGGAGTGGAAGCTACCATTATAGAGAAGAGTCCATCTCTGAACATGAAGCAGCTTAGTGTTAGACCGGGCCACACTTGGCATTATTAATACTCTACACATTTCGGCGTGCTAATATTTGTTCTGTTTTAATATTACAAATTACACGATCATAGTAATTCTGGAGTTTATTTTAAAAGTTTAAACCTCTATCCATCCCTCGTAAAATAATGGCACTGGCCAATGCTTTTGCAGTGCATTATGGGTGACGATGTAGTTAGTTGTTTTCCGCTTTTGTAATCAAATCAGTAATGCATGCTAACGTAGCCTACGTCTTTAATAATATTTGGATTATTTTCACAACTGCATTTAGCTCACATTACATTCAGTAACACAGTTAAATGAAAAAAGTGCACGCGTTCGTGCAACTAGATCTTAAAAACTCAGTACGTAACAACAGAGTATTTTTTATTTTTTCATTTCATTGGTGTTATTTTTGTGTTTGCCTGCTAAAATTTGAAGCTGGTCCACATAGTTTCCATTTTTTTCATTTTCCTTGAAAAACATTGCCTGTATTATGCAGCAACTAGTGCCAAATGCCTCAGAGACTGACAAAAATATGACTTCATTGTATCTCGTGATATACCGAAATTATTTCTTTTTATGTTTTTATTATGTTATCTATGATATAGCCATGACATTTACAATATATAAAGAGTAGTGAAACTGTTCCCAAACTATAGTATCTTGATAGAACCTGAACTGGAAGTGATGCACTGTGAAATGCATCATTAAGAGTTTAAATAACACCCATTATAACAAATTAACAGTTTGAAATTAACAATAACCAATCTAGTGCAAAGTTAATGCAGTTCCAAAAATGGAAAAATAACAAAAAACCTTTTTGACCACAAAGAACATAAGAGATTAGAATCGTAACTTTAGAATTTCTGGTTAGATTTAGTGGTTTCTATTAAAACAGTAACTCAGCAGTGAGTGGTTTAGTGGGTGCCCACCTCTGAAGACATTTGTAAAAATATCCAGCTGGTGCATTACAATCTGACTGGCTAGTTATTAAGGTTGCTACTGGTGCATCCTCAGCTCTCCAGCAGCAGCCTGTTGCCATAGCAACACTGCACGCTTAGTGTGGGTGCAGGAGGAGCGCTTGTGTGACTTCTTCACCTCATGTAACCCAAAATACCAACTGAAATCATCATCTCCAGACACTGCTCTCCTCTCTGCAGAAGAATGAGCTTGTCTTGGAGAAGAACAACTAAACATTAAGGAAGATGACCAACAGTATACAATATGTTTGGCTGCTGTCAACCCAGGATGTCTTTGTGAGCCTAAATATACTTGGGGAAAAAAATCTTTTGTTCAGTTTCACACAACTGTGGTTGATAATAACCACTGAATCCATTAAAACCAATACAATGCCCTTACAATGAATAGATTCATTTGAACATGAACCAGTTGTTTGTTTCCCTGTACACTTGATCATTGCAGTTAATCTGGATAAGGTCAACACTCATCGGGAATACTCCAAAAACACTTTTTTTAAAAACACATTGCCTCAAAAAAAGAGTCTTGTCTCAACAGATTTTGGATCAGAGATTGCTAATTTGCAGTGTAGCAAGACATAGTGCTGAAAACCAAGCATCTAAATTTGAACGTATGTAATATTATAGTAACGTGTCACCCTGTGAATGCACAGAGCCCTAATCTATTATTTCTGCTAATATCCATTTAATAATGATGATGGTGACATACTTTCAACTTCACTTTCTCAAAAATCAGTCCTGGCACACACATATGCTTTCATATTGATTTGTTATTGTAGTTTATCGTAATTATAAAGTATTAACCATTGTACTTAAGTTTATGCATCAAATAAATGCCAAAGCTGTTCATGTAAACTAAAGATAGCCTCTGTTCATCCTCACATTTACCTTGATTCAGTTCTGTACCGGAATCACATTCCTTGTGTGTAACATACTTGGCCAATAAAGGTGATTATCCTTATCCTATTATCCTTGAGCAACAGCACAAATTAAAAAGAAATGAGTGATCCAACTGAAACTCTGTGTCCTGCTGCATAAGGAAGATGTTGACCACCTGTGGCAGGAGAGCCACTGGGCTTTTTCAGAGACATCATCATTTCAAAGGTACACTATGCTTCTATTTCCCTGGTTGTTCCTTTTTGCAAGGCTTCCTCCTACCCAGGTCACCGGAAGTATGAGCTACTGTATAGCCACAGAGAATGATCTTGTGGGTGTTCAGTCCAATGCCATCATTTC